AGTTTATTTAGTTCCGGTTCTCACACATGAAACAACAAGGTTCCTTTTGAACACAAACAGCGAGTTTTGTTTATTTCACATTCGTCTATTAATATCAAATTCTCTTAACACGACCGTGTTTGGAAGTGCCAATATAGGGAGTGCTTGCAGAGAGTTTATTGATTCCAAGAACTTGTTTTCGAAGCGCACGTGACATTAATCTATGAGCATATGCTTGTTTGAGCATGTGCCAAGATTCAATTGCTGCGTGTCCACGCGAAAAGATCTCTTACACTAAGGGACACATCATTTCTCACGTAATACTAACGGCTGTGGCAGTTTTGAGATGCGAGGGATTAAACACGTGTCTCTAATCTATATATCGTCAAGTGTGCTCAGACTTTATACTTTGATGCACTTTGAGAATGAAAATAGCCATTGATTTCAGAATGGTACACTCGTATCGTATTTCGTATCTTGATCTTTCATGGGATAAATTTACTCTACGTCGCAGTAACGAATATTATTCCCACGTATAGCAAATAACTAATTCCAATTATTGCTTGTGGTGTCATTGTCTCTTTTGTTGATTCCTATCTCCCCGAGATTTTTCTTGTACTTTACATTTTAAAAAATGTGTCGCACAGGCGATGCAAAGATTTAAGTATCCACTTTAAGTATCCTTTTAAGTAATATTTTTATTTAATACATATCTATCCATTTTTAATTAATATTATACATTTAGAAGAAATAAGAAGTCTATTGTTCATATTAAGCATGAAATCGATTCCGACTCGTTATCCTTCTTTAATCGAGTCACGTGCGAAATCAAGATGCGTCAATCAAAATATTTTCTGACGACGAACGTAATGCAAGACTCTTCGATTTTCGATCGTCGAGGAGATTGAAAACCACTCACCTCGAAAAGCGGGCAGCCTTGGATCCTGAGCGACTTCAGCGCGGGAAACCTGGCGAGCCTTTCGACCTCGTCCCAAGCCGATAGCAGGGTACCGTTCACGTTTAAGAACCTGAGCATTCTGAAGGGATCGTGGGGCGACTTGATGGTTGTCCCATTGGATTCCGACTTCGACTCAGATCTTTCGTAGTTGACCTTGCTCTCAAATATCCTATTTCCTTTATCGTCCGTCGACGAGGTATGTTCATCCGCGTCTAAGTGATTCATGTTTTCGTTATCCTGCCCGTGACCTTCTTCTTTCGTTCGGCGGCCATCCTCGCTTGGCAAATTCCGATTTTCTTCCAAACCAAGCGATCTGATCGGGCACTCGGCGAGGACAAGGCTCTTCAGGTTTGGAAATAGATACCTGGAGAAGCGTACAGCGCCCAATGACAAATCTTTCGGAATAACAACTTATCAAACAAATTTTATTTTACATTACTAAAGAAACTGATCGATTTTCTAATTATTAGCATTAAAACGATATCACGTGAGACTCACCCTAGCTTCGAGATCTCGTTCCAAACTTCCACCGGATTGCCGGTGAAGTGTAATTTCTTCAGCGCCGGATTCGCGTTCTCCGGCTTTTGATAATCCAGGTCCACCGTTTTGTACTCGTTCAAGGACAAGTGAAGTTCCTCCAGATTGCGCAAGTGCCGTACCAGTCCCTGCACCGTCGACCAGGACACCCTCGTGCCATTGAGCACGAGATTCCTCAGAAGATCGTAGTTACCATGCTTGATCTCCAGCACCTCCGCGAGGCAGTTGAAGCTCAAGTTCACGAACTTGATCTTGGGCATGTGCTGCAGGATGTCGAATACCTCCGTCCATTGCGACAGCTTATTCTGCGCCAGGTCAAGCTCCTCGACGTTCTTGCACTTGCTGCGAAGCTTCTCGGCGTCGTTGCCCGCCGACTCGATGTCGCAGTCCTGGAGCACCAATAGCGCCGGCACCGTGTGTCGTGGGGATTTCTTGGGGATGAAGATGCTCACCGACAGGGCGGCTTTGGGCGAGCCAGACTCCGCTTCATCGTCCGTCAATGAGCAGTCCGTCGTTGAGCTGCCGTACTTAAGCTCTAATGCTTCCAGCAACGACGGCATGTTTACTGCATTCTGGAACATTACGAGAAGCTTATTTATCCGGAATAATAATTTCTGCGATAAATTCTTTGCAGTGATTTAAAGGCTGCTTTTATCAGCATCATTATTATTAAATCGATTATTATTTTTCGCCTCCAATAAATTGCAGGAGCATTATTTTCGAATAATTTTTACGGAAGATCGGGACGGTCATTTAAAGAGTAGAAGATCGTACGGAGATTTCTGCCTGAAAATAAATTCAGTTTCTTAGGATGGCCATGGAAATACAAATGCAAGTAAATGTCCACCCTGTCGGCCAAATAACACAAAGCAGCGTCGCTAACCGCGGGAATAGAAAAGGAAGGAAAAGGGAGAAGGAAAAACCTCCGCGAGCCGGTCATCCTCGAGACATGTAGAATCTGGTCTCGCCATATCCGCTAAGGTCACGCCATTGTCTTTTTGCGCAGCGGCCAAGAACCAGTACCGGTTCTCTCTAGCAGCCGACAAAACGATTCTTCGCGATCGCGTCTCGGCTCGGCTCGCCCACGCGCGTGCCAAGCATTCAGAGACAACCTGTCCTGTCGACGAGCCTATGTTGACTGAGAAAAATTCCCCCTGACGAAAAGTTAACGATTATTATTGTTGCGCCTGCATGAAAGAGGAGAAAGAGATATTTCGATATACGCTGGAAGTTGAGTTCGACTTGGATGTACAATCCCCGAGCAGATAGTTGATTCAGGATTGTAAATCTGTCCTGGGACCCTTTTTAGAAATCGAGATGTAATATAAGGAACGAACCGAACGAATAAACTAGAGAACTTTCTTTCCGAAGAGGTACTCTATGGCGTATAACAATTCTCCCGAAACTAATTCTATATCATTATCATTAAATAATCGTAGAGCTCTCTTGAGTGTCATTTCAAGTCTCGCAGTCCCATCCGCAGCGTTTACCTAATATCGCGTTATAGAAAAGGTTTACGACGACTTTCCACTTATCGTTATAATATCGCGATTTCTCGAACGCGGTGATGATAGGTGTACGACAACGTAGTTCGGACGGGCTTTCCGATCTATTACGGTTATTAATGCATAGTCGGATTGCCACGTCTTCACGATCGGCGATAAACGTCTTTCTACGCGCGCTATATACGGCGACTCGGTCGTTCTTCACTAGATATGCAATGACGACCGCCATTCGATCATCTTCCACGTGTTGCAACGCCATACATATCTGGACTCTAATGTACGCGATTAAAGGTATTCCCGTTATTATCAGGGGATCTCGAGGTGACTTTTGCATTTCTATTCGCGAAAGTATAACGACCGAGTGTCTGACACGATTTGGAGATATCTAGATCTGTTCTCGAGCTGTTCGTCGACACAGGAACGAGATGTTTTCCTTATTATATATCGCTGCATCGTTTGTATATATATATCCGATACCTCCGCCACAAAATTCTGATAAAATATAATGATGATAGATTGACGTAATAGATCGACGACTCGTGAGATTACGAGCTCGCTCGCAAAACGGAAGACTGTTAGGTTAGTTTGGCGAGAGTCGTGTAACACGTAAGGAGCCATTCTCGTCTTTTTGCTGGACACACGCCAAATTGCATTTACATAAGAAAGACATTACGATACATCGCGTCCTACTAATTTGCCGTTTCATACAAGTCGTTGGGGCTAAAGTAATTTTCGTATTATAATTCATGCAAATCTACGACCTACATAAATAATTCATCGTTGTACAATGTATGATGAAACGTTGACTTCTATTATTCCGGAAGGTCTTATTCAGCTTGAGCTCGCGCGGCTAAAATCGTCGTCCGCGAGGAAAAGAAAGCATTTGTATGAAATAAAAGGCCAATACGTTTAACGAGAAGAAAAGAAAGGAGAGTAGCGAGACGAGAAACTTTTTCGAAACAATATAGATGTCATATACGAATGAAACGAAAGCCGCAGTGCTCGTTCACCATCTCGCCGGAAATTCGGACACGCTTCTTTACGCGCGGCCCAACACGCGCGGCTGGAGCGGTACAAAACCAGGCGGGTGTGTACGTCACGTCAGATCGCGAGGAGTTAATTCGGGACGAGCTAGTTTCGATCCGCGCGGCGATCCCCGTGAAGTCGAAGGCGCGAACGGCGGCGTCCGTTGATCGACGTCGAGCGGACGGCTGCATGTGCCCGCTCGGATCGAATAAAGACGTGACTGGCCTAGAAGCAGCAAATTGGTCTAACCGCGTCTAACCGCGGTTACTCTCCGCGCTTCCCCTGAGCGTAATAGCGGCGATATCGGTTCAACGGCCATGCGAAATTAACTTTCTCCGCTCCGCGCGGCTTCGCGAGCGCGTCCAAGAAAGAGACCAGAACGAGAAGGAAAGAGAGAGAGAAAGGAGAGGGTCTCTAGCAAGACCCCGTGCATTGCACCGCGTTACGGGCGCATTGGAGTCGTGACGGAGGCGCGCGTTGCTCTATCACAACGGGATACCGGGAGTCGCGAAAGTCCGCAACGGTCAGTGGACACGTCTCTGAGGATTGCCTGGTTTCTGTCGTGAAGCGAGTCCGCCGCCGAGAAACGCGTATACAACACCGACGCGTTTGTTCGCGAATTACGATCTTGCGCACGCGATGATAAACGTATATATACAATATATCTACGCAATCAGAATCAATTTATTCCCTGTCGAGAACGCAAGTATGATCGCGAAAAAATCTCGCATGAAATTAATTTCAATGCGCAGCACTTTACAAGCGCTTTAACGTAAACGACGAAAGGATAAGAACTCGTGAGGATTTTTAAATTGTAATTGCCACATGTGAGAATAATTTACACGCGATAACGATTGCGTATTTCCTAGAGCGTTTATTATTGCTTAATCGTGGCGCTTTTAGATTCGCCCGTGAAATCACGCTGCTTACAAATCGCGCGCACATCCGCGACCGGCAACAAAATAGAAAAGCAAGAGTGAAACGCCGCATGCGTGGCTCTAAACACAGCCTTTTACGATTTACGGAAGCCGCCGCAAGTGGGATATGGATTGTACGAGCCAAGATTCACTCTCTACAGTTTGTGTAATTTCACGCTGGACGCAGATGTGTTTCGATTCATGAGATAGGGGGCATTTTGTTATGACCGCCGAAAGCGGAGTCCGAGCTCCGAGCAATTGTGAGATTCAGGCTGGAATTTATGTGGGACGCAGATTCGCAAACTACAATTTCACACACATGTACATGAAACGTTAATAAAAAGCATATATCTAAATTTATATATATATATCGTTTTTATACGACTCTCGTGGACGAGAACAATACAAAATAAAAGACTTTAAATGTACGTTAATCATCAGGCATTAATAATTAAACACGTGGCCTGATGATTAACGTGGCCTGACTCTTGCAGAAATAATAGAATACTTAAATTAATTATGTCTCTATTTGAAAAAATTAGAAATACCAGATAAATATGACGGACTGCAATAAAAACGGCTTATCTTATATTGAAAGATTCATACCTAATTCATACACGGTAAAACCTTTAAAATTTAAAAACAACCGAGAGATTGAATGCAAGAGGCTTCGGTGAACATATATATATATATACTTTCGCATCTAGATATTTTTCCAGTTAGTTTTATCCTGGCGGAAGAATTAAACGAGCCAGGCAAAATGATAATTGCGCGAAGAGAAAACCGCGAGCAGGACATTGATAGGCACATAGTAGTTACAACGTATGCAACGTTTGCGAGCGGCAGACTGGCAATCAGCTGAGTCGCGAGGCTTGAACGGTATCAAGTGAACCTACTACAGCTGTCCCGTTCTCTCTCTCGCGCGCGCGGTGGCCACGCGTAACGTAACGCTAAATATACGACTAGTGTGATGACGGTTACGAAATATGTCAGCGAGAATCGTCGGCGCAGTGGGTCAGTCGGGTTGCGTTTGCATGGTGCGTGAGCGCCGGAAAAGACGCGCGGCTGACCTTCTCCGTGATATTCCCCTCGTAAGCCTCGAAAGAGATAAAGCGCGAGGACAATTTCTAAAAAAGCCCGATTGAGATAGTCCTAAAAATCTCAAGTAATCCATCGCACACAATATTGCCGCGTGAATTAATTTCCCCGAAACAAGAGCGAGCAAATTGCAAAACCGCCTGGGCGTAGAACGATTAAGCTAGATTTATCTTTCGACCCTCTTTCGCGCTAAGTACCATACTCCAGAGATCTTAGGGTCGGCGTGAAAGCGCGAAATAAATTTAAATCCGCGATCGACGACACGATAAACTCTCAAAATTTAAAAACGGAACCGAGGTTGAAGAGGCTTCAATAAATATACATATATATTTTCGTATTTAAATTTTGTTGTACCCAATCCGTTACGCAGAATTCATCTCTAAGAACCAGCTGTTGGTTCCAACTGCGTTGTATCTAACAGAGAATACAAAGTGTCATTGTGCAAAATGCAAACAATGCAGTAAAACAACTCAATTAGTTGCTTGCGAGACATTCGTATGTGCAAAAAAGATCTGTTCGTAAAAAAAAAAAGAAAAAACAGAGAGAGAGAGAGAAAGAGAGAGAGACAGACAGAGCGATGATGTATATGCCATCGCTAACATTGCAGGGCACAATAAACATTGTGTCGCCTCCTCTCCTTCCCACCCCTCTTCTCCTTTTGTCTTCCGAGGGGACGCTGCATCGCGGAAATGAAACAACGGATTAGGTAAGCGAGGGAGCTTTGACGCAGCGCGCGTCGTGTCCTTTCACCGGTCGCGAAATGAGAGCTAAAAGCGCGAAACGCGTCGGAGCGGAACGCCACTTTTCCGCCTCGGCGTCTGAAAACATTGACGAAAGTCCGGCCTGCTCCTCTGCTGCGCAAATTGCGAGCCGAGACTGCCGAGAGCTCGCGGAATATTACTCGCTTCCTCAAGGTTGCCCGTGCGGCGTGCGCTCTGCTCGCGCGACCCGAGCCGAGACTCGAGAGCGCATTGTGTGAATGCACGTACCAGTATACCTATATATCTCTCCTGCCTTTGCCCGCCTCTGTCTGCACCTTTGTTGCATCAGGCCTGATCAGGCCGTGCGGAACGCGAACTCTGTGAAGTCGCTGTCGCTCGCAATTCGATCAGCGAGAGAACGTAGATATCTTTTGTGCGACACGTATAACTGTTGAAGTTTTGTTAAATGCGCAGCTTAAAAAGCGGCACGATACAGAGTTCCGGAGGACACCGATAAGTTTCACGTTTCTTATCATTCGTAGGCTGCGTTCCGATATTCACTGTCGTCAGTACTGAAAATCTATATAGTGTACGTTACGTAAACTATAGATTTTCAGTACTTGCAGTGAATATCGGAACGCAGCCATATTCCGTTGTTACGTCGCGCGAAGATAACGGAATGTCTCTTCTATAATATTTGAATGGACACACAAACCTATCAATGCAAGTAAAAATAATAAATTTATTCGTGGATCTCTGAGGTAAAATTTTTCTGGAGTCTGCAACACACGACACAGCTGCCATTATCAGAATAATCGATAAGTGGTATCTTCGATCGCGCTTGCCTCGCTTGCCATATAATCAACTTCGGAAGCATCCCGTACACAATTAGACGATGTGCTCTCAGTGCTCTTTCTCTTGGTTCCTTTCTCGACTCCTAAAAACACCTCGCATCGGCGCGCGGAAATTAAATCGATGTGTATAAGAAAGCGGCGCCGAGACGAGAAAGAGATATATACAGAGCGTCATGGAGAAGATCACAAAGAGAAAGAGCGCGATTTTTCAACGATAGATCCCCCGATAGATGCAAATTCCACTTCTTTTCGTGAAAAAGTCGAATTTAATCCTCGGCCCACAGCCTGTTAATTTTTAAAGCACGCGGGATCAAAGCCTGTTCACGATCCGACATTTGCAGAACAATCGTGCCACGCTGAAGTGCTGCGCAGTAGTTCTGGAACACCTGGTGTATACCGGATGGACCGTTCACTGGAACGCTATACATCGTGGCGGACTTCTCCTTTTTGAGCTCGGCTAGAGCTGCGCGTTTTAACGGCAGCTTACTGCTGTGTTGCAGATCAAACGTTGGCCTTTATGCGGGCGTTACGCGCGACAGCCACGACGGCGATTGCGGTCAACCGTGTATATACGTCAGATATATGTGTTACAATCGCAAACACGTTACAAATGAAATTTTATCAAATGAGCGCAAATTGAAGTTCTCCGCTATCTTTGCATCGAGATAACCAAATCGTTGCGTTTCACCACGAAACGCAAAAACAATCGGATGTTTTATCGGTGCCAGTGAAGTATTTAGCAACAAATATTGCGCCGTGATTGCGTATTAATTCTCCGATAATTAGTCCTGCCCGATGACTCAGTGCTCTTATCGTTCTTGTTTTCACTTATCTACGTTGCCCGATGCCAGATTTCAATTTCACTGCATTCGACGTACCTGTGTACGGCGTTAGAAACAAATGGCGCTTTCGGCCTAAGGCGGAATCCACTTTCTTTACCTCGCGAGGAGCAACACAGGAAGTTTCGAATATTCATCCGGCAGAAAATCTTACGGAGTCACGCTATCGTAAGCGGAAAATCAGTATATCAGCGGGCAAGATTTCTTCAACGCTCGCTAACGAGAGTATTCGTTCTGGCTGCACCAAATCCGCGATTTGCTCGAAGATCTCTGCGGCTCGTTTTGCCGATGAAATAAAACTGACGATATTTTATTGAGAGGATTCAACATTCCACGTATTATTAATGATCACCGTAATATGTTTTTCACAAGTACATTACTGATTTCGACTTTTTTCGTATTAAAGGAAAGGTTTCTTGTAAAAATGAGGATTGCAGGAGTCAGACGCGTCGAAAACGTTATCAGGAACCTCGTTGATGTCTATAGCAATGATCGATGACGCGATATCACGATGCAGCTACCTACATCTTGCTACTTTTACTATGGCAATCGAATATGAATATCTTCGTAAATTTTACACTATTATTCCAAACGACTTTATTATGCATCCGCGTCTCTCTCTCTTTTTCTCTCTCTCTCGTTTACATAATATCTCCCCAACTGAAACTGTGTGCAAAAAACTGTTTAATGCGCCGCGAGGATAGACTTCGTTGCACAAGGGCATTAAATCATCGCGAATGAAAGGACTGCTGTCAATGGAACGTGAAACTGATTAGATCTCAAACGCGTCTTAAAGCGCAACTCTATACGCGTTTCGAAACGATGTGCCGTAAATGTCAGAATAATTTGCAAATTATCACAAATTATCACACTTCAGCGATATTCCGCGGTATTCCGCATTAAAATGCGCTCTCCAAAAAATTTGCAGATTTTACATTCTGTATAACTTTCACCTTTTTTGATTTTGTAATTTAATTTGAAATAAGGAATACCACATTGTATACGACGACCGAGTATTCTCATTGTGCAACAGGAAGGGAGAAAATGTGGGAAATTCTGTTTTTCCTTATTCTTATCCGTGACTTATCTCGCTATTGCCGATATCGCAATAAATTCAATGCTAATTGCCCCTCTCGATTAAAATATACAGTGTCCATCAATCTTTAAGACGCATCGGAACCGAGTTGCGCGAAATCTGTAATTAAGCGTGAATTATTCCTTTCCCATTTCGACCTTGTAATCTTTCGGTTGCCAAGGTTGCGTAGGAGTATGCATTCTTTGTCTCCTCCTTCTTTATCTCGTGGAAGTGCAATCGTAGAATTTGTTAAACGATTAAACGAGGCGGTCCTAAGCTGACGCGTTGGAATCCGATTACGCAATTGACGATCGAGCGCAAAGAGACGTCTTTGCCAGTAAACGATTTCGCTGAAAGTTGCGTAAGCCGCTAGAATACAATGACACGAATACGAATGAAGACCGACACAAGCTCCAATGTTATCTATCTGGAACATTTCTCAAATTATATATAAACTATTAATGTTATAAACTACTAATGTGACTATTAAAGTTACGAGCTATTACATAAATTATATATATTTCAGCCGCAGTCGTAGGCGTCTACTTTCTACTTCGTTTAAATATTATGCAACATGTACCGCGGAGTTTTGCTCACAGTGAACGATCCTAGTAATAATTAAGTCGCTTTGGAAATATAATTTCCGGCGTTTAATGATAAAAACGCCGAATTAATCGCGTAACACGAGATTGACGATAATTTACGAAAATTTTACACGCGAACGGAGGAATCTCAGTCTTCTGGACAAAAAGGAAGAAGAAAAAAGAGAAGGGTATTCGGTTTTAAAATGAATGAAAGTTAACGGAAAGGTGGTTTCTCCGTTGCAATCATAAACGAAAATAGTGCAATCGATTTACAGTCCAGCAATAGCCGAGCCCATTGCAAAACAGGAGGATTGGGATATAAAACGTAGATATAAGAAGCAGAAATCGACCATGCACGACGTGTTTTTGTGTTCTCTCTTTTCTCTTACACATATATATAGATATATATATCTTTAATAGTTTAATATATCACCGAGAGGATGGATATAAAGGATAAAAAGCTACAATATTCACGTTTCGCGGTCAGGAAGGTCTTGCAATGTCATTTATATTGCGACAAATTTAAAAATTCGTTATAAGGTATACGAGGCAAAAACGCAGTTGTTTATTCTTTCGTAAAAATAATTTAGCTATCGCAAAAGATAATTACAGAAATTTTGCGCGACTCTGAAATCATGGAGGAATGATCAAATTGCATTATGCGGCACCACGTTGTTCTTTTTTTCTAAGCTGCATTCTCATTAGGCATCTATACCTGCGTTTTACAATAAGAAAAAACCGAGTGCCTTGCTCCTACGGCTTACGGGATAATAATCGTACAATAATAATTATATAATGTAACAATTGCACGACAGGTTTCGTTGTCATTGTTCCACCGTCAGCCGTCGTGAAAAAAAAAAGGCGACGACAGACGTTGATACTAACTGAATCACCCTGTAGAACAACGTGAGTTGCACGTCGCTTCCCGGCGGCATCTTGCAATTAGATCTAATTGTCGATACCGCTCGACGGATGTGTAATCAGCGAAGAGCCGATATTATAGCTCTTTCCTACAGTAAACCAAGCGGCTACGATTTACGTCGCCACCGTTCGACGATGACGCGCGAGTACGAGGAACGAGCCCCACCGGGGAGGGGATCCCACGCAGAAACCCGCGCGGATCTTATCTATTACCCATTACACATGCGTCGCACGGTATCGGCGATTGAAGCCATAATCCATATCGTCCGATATCTTTGGTTTGTCGAAAAAAAAAAAAAATCTGGGCACGCGCATCGTCCCCGCGTTGTTCGCGGCCACGTTGATGGTTGCTGTCTAAATACGAACGCGACGAATAACGCGACATCGGCCGCGTTGCGTGTCGACTGTCGAGCGTGAGCGTAACGAGCGACGAGCGACGCGCGCGGTCGAGCGCACCGCTTCCGTATGGCGCAGGGCGCGAGCGCGGAAGTCTCTCCCGTCGCCCGACGGGGAGATACATAGGAGTAATCCCTCGAAAGGGTTGTTGTAAAAATCCGACGAAACGTCGAACGCGTCTCGAGAATCGTGTCAAGGACCAGGCGGGCGGGCACGGGCGGGTGGGAAAAACCGAGCGTCCGCTTGGCCCTGGCGACGCCAACGTCGCTTATTTATTTTTACTCACTGTTTGCGCGCCGCCCTTCGGACCTCGGGCCGCCGCTCCGCGTTCGCCGTGGTCGGTGCGCCGCGGTGGCCGCGGTTGCCGTCGGAGTATATAGTCGCACACTCTCCGAGGACTTTATTTCCCTCGCATGCGGCCCAATGCGGCGGAGCCAGGCGAGCTGAGACGATCTACCCGCGGGTCGCGTCGTATCGCGTCGCGTCGCGTCAGCGACTTCACCACGGCCACGGCGTCGCGCGGGCTCGAAGCTCGAACGTGCGTCGTCGTCGTCGTTGTTGTCGTCGTCGATCTTTCGAGCGGAGAACGAGTGGCGTCGCGCGCGAACGCGCCGTTCGCCATCCAGCGTTGAACTGGCTCCTTTGTTTAGTAAACAGAAACAGCTGAGCGGCCGACGGTGGTGGTGGAGGCGGCGGTGATGGTGGCGGCCGCGCGGCGGGACCACGGTACTCGCCCCGCTCGCCCGTACCGTACATTATCGACCGCATCACGCGTGCGCGATGCCCGCGACCGCGGTCACGTGGTCACGTGGTCCCGCCGCTGGCTGGAGAACGGTCGTGGTCGTCGTCGTCGCGGTACTTCCGCGGCCGACGATCCGCGCCCGGCCGCGAACAATCGCCTTTTAGATCGGCAACGAAACATCGGGCTTTTCTTGCGCATTTTCACGAGAAGTTCTGGATATTTTATAGACTTCATAATAATGAATGCATTTTAATTTGTGCATGTTAATTGATGCATGTTAATTTAACTGAACCAATGGAGTTAAAATAATACCATTTTGTGTTGAAATAATAAATTTAGACACACATGGTAGTTAAAAATAAAAAGAGTTATTTAACTTGAGGTATTGCAATTGATTTAAATTCCTTTAATATTTAACAGCGATCGATAAGATTCTAAAAATCTTATTTCTTCAATATTATATAATACTCTAGAGAGTCTAGAGAATACGTATTTATGTTTCTGATGGAGACACAAATGGAGTAATTTGCGGGCGCTTGAATCGCGCGTTAACGCGCGTGCGATAATGAAAACAAAACACATGACCCTCAAAACCTAGCAAAACCTCAATTTCACGAATGTCAAAATAGACCAGCTTGAACATACGTGGAACGCATATACGCGCGTACGATAAAATTTACATTTTGCGAAAATGGCAAGAAAGAATACGCTGCGACACGTGCAGCAAATTTAAAATTCAGGGTGCGCAAAAGGAGAGGAAGGAAAAAGGCGTGCTGAAGGAAAATAGCCACACAAGAGGTTACATAATATGTTATGCCGCAGAGAGATGTCTGCGCGAGGCGCAGCACGCTCTTATATCTCGTACTTACGGAAGTGCGAAGATTAGAAAAACGCCGCGCGCGATCGCATCCTCGAGCGCGAACAGCTGTGCTTGCCGACTATATAATTTAAACGTAAAAAAGAGACCAAAGAGTATAAAAAGGCTGTACTTTACACAAAAAATTTAGACGTTGCGTTCCCGAGGCAATGTTCATGTGATCGCCGTCGCGGGGAAAGCGAACAATTAGCGTTGGCATGGAGATTTTCTATTAAATATTTCTGGTGTTTTATCTGTAATCATTATACCGATAACATAGAATATGCCATCTATATCTCTTTTATTACATTTTTTTTTTAATCATAATTCGTAACAACCACATCTTTTCGTACCATCTACCGTCTTATTAAAGATTAGTGATTACCTATTAGGGATTGAGTAACTTCAAAACTCTCGCGTTATCTACTTGCTCTCTAACATAAGAAAACTAAACAGACATAGGCAACATAATTGCAATGGAAGGCTGCAGCGCAATCGTAAGATCGTGAATGTTACTCGGAAAATATAATTTCGCGACTTACTTTTCATTCCTTAAACAATATTATATTATTTATCGATACATAGAATTTATCGTCCGTACCGTTTGCTAACAGTGCTACATTTTTTTTGTCTTTGTTTTCAAAAATGGTCTGGTGCGCGCATTCTCTCTCTCTCTCTCTCTCTCTCTCTCTCTCTCTCTCTCTCTCTCTCTCTCTCACACACACACACACTTGTAAATTATTAGACATGAAGAATTTCTTGAAATAATTTTATACCGTTTGTTTTGGTACTCTTTGTATACATCATATGATTATATTGGATTAATATTAGTTTATACAATTAAAGTAATAGATACACGCATAAAGTATATAATTAGGTACATTATATCATTGCACATCCATATGTGTATATATATATTTTTAATAAGTTAGTTATAGAGATTATAGAGATTCAGTACTTCTCCTTTTGTATTCGCAGGGAATTATTATTGTTGCACGCATTATATACATTATTCTATTGGTATGGCAACCGTTTTTCCGTTTTTAAAGGGCCAATATACCGTCTCGAACCGTAAAACAGATCGAGAAACCGGAACGAAAAGTCTTCGTCCACGCTCTCTACGTTATACAATAATCCACCTGTCGTTAATCTGCGTTAATTTAACGAATCATGAGCTCCATCGCGGCACGTGTGTATACACGTACAATATAGTTACACGTATTACACCGACACCACTATGAATATTATGTAGCTGCGTTATGAAACTAATTAGTTTTTCTTTGAGTGTCAAAATTATATTCGCAGCACACGCACGTCACTCAAAACGCAAGATTTATGTGAACTGTAACGTGTTGCGTGTCTTTTAATTCGTCTTGATACAAAGCTTCCCGAAATTGTTTAGTCCAAACTTTCCTTCAACGTTGGTACTTCCTCTTTAGAACTTCCTCTTTAAAACAACTATTGATATCAGAAAGCGTGCGTTCTTTCATGCCATTTTTATGTTGTCCGCTCGAATGTCAATCGCTAATTAGTTAGCTCGAATCCAGATTCTCAAAGTGAAAGTTTGACCGTTTAATTAATTTTACTCCAGATGTTTTCTAATAGAAAGTCACATCTGTATAATCGTTTCCTCCCTTCCGTAATTTGGAGATTTTATTCTAGAGAAACGTATACACACTAATTTGCTCTTCCAAACGCTCTAACGATCTTATTTAAGTTATTTCTATGTTTTTGTCTCGCGAGAAATACTGCACATTAATTAAATCAAAGGATTTTCGTAAGGAGAAGTTATATGTTTTTGATAACATTTCTCTCTCTCTCTCTCGTTGTTGCGATCGCTCTAAAAAGGCTTCCGGGTTACGGCTATAGAAACGGTGGAGATTAACGTTACATTATCAACTATACCGCGTACACTGTATTATTATGCCATGAATCTCGCGTAAAAATAAATACCCGGAGAATTGTTAGCAGCAATTGATTGCAGATCAGATTCACGTTGTTACAAACTTATATGTTGTACATAGAGATTTTTTCACACCTGCAGTAATTAACAGTAAGAAAATTTATAAGTGAGCGATTAATTGCAATATTTTGAATTATGTTCACATTGTTAACTTCTCAATCGCATTGTTTAATTACTATCCCTGCGCGATATATATATCTATACGTTATAAAAGCACACGAGGAGTGCCGGAAATTTTTCACCAGCTCCGGAAATTTGTGTATTCTTAAATTAAATCGGAGAAACATTGGTTTATACTTTCATATCGCGTTAACTTATATACATATATATTTTGCAGCTTTTAACGCAATGTTTCTCTTAATTAACCTCGAAGCTTCCGCGATAAAGGGAGGACTTTTTGAGGACAGCCACCATTTACGTACAAATCTAAAAGAAATATCCTGCGTATTATATTAAATTGGTCAAAATGCACGATGGTATGACTCGTGAGCGCGATTATATATACTTCTTGCGGCGATTTACGTATTTGCGTAGCCTCGAAGGAACACGCGTGCTGTAATTCTATAAAAAGCTCTGGATTACGATATGTAACGTAAGTTATTTATTCGATCATGTTTGGTATACATTACTATCTGCCACGACGAAATGAAGTAATACACATTCGTTTCAGCGCTTCGCTCTCGCATTGACTAACCCTGATGTCGATCAACTCTTAAATGATATCATCCGTCAGTATAACAGTCACAAGCAACGCGTAAATTACAACATATACTTATCTTAATATTTCTGTTCTACTACATCTTAACAATAGGCTGAGAACCTATCAGCCTTGAGCACATTTAGAACCTTACAGAATTCTTGGCTTGTAACAACGTGCTTCTAAAAACAATCATTTAAAAGCGATTTGGCAAAACTATTTAGCATTTTAAACACAGATAGACGCGAGAGTGATTTTGCGAGCGCTGTATGACGTGGTGTCCTCGCAATGGTAATACAAAAAGCTCTTTGCCCGAAGATTGAAAATGCAAGTGAATTAAGTCCAGTTTCGAGAAAATTTAAACCAGGAGAATTGAAACGCCTTGCTTTTCATAATCCAGATAGACGATGTGACATCGGAAAGAATCTTCTATACGATTATCATTACTTCGCGTTGGCCGTACTTTCTTTCTTCAACACTAGTAATTTTAAATTTGCTCCACTTGAAACTAGCATATACCGCGACTTGTATTTTCAGTGCTTCATTCGCTCTCGGTTTGTCGTAGCAAAATACAGTCGCGCGATAAAAAAGCGCGAACTGCAACAAAGCTTTCTCCGATGATCTCATTTAAGGGCGATCGCGTGCATATTGAAGAAGAAGCAATCCTCAAGGAGACACACGTTTTACACTCTCATCTACGTCACACACCTCCTGTCACGATACTCTGCCTTTATTTTTTTTTTCCTAAATATTACATGTCGGTCTCACAAAAAGCGTGACTAAACTTAATCTTTACAGACTTTTTTTTACCTGTACAGAACATTTCTCGATAGGGACAACGATTATATTATTACAGAGCTTAATTTCCTTTACAACTTGTTCGTTACGGTCGGATCAACAGGGTTTAGAACTATATATATATATATTGCCTACGATTCCTACTTAATTTATACGAAGATATAATAATGCTTTTTCCTCCAGGGATGGAGTAATAGATAAATAATTTTCTATTCTTCTCGATGGCCCGATCGGTATATGCATATATGACACATTTATGTATATGGCGATGGAGATAGTGATGATATAATCTCCCGCCTATTTCCAATTATTCAATGCATACATGCTAACATCGAAGCTATACTTTTTACAGAAATAGGGAGTACCATCACATTTCGCGAAACACGTGAGTTTTATACACATATCGTATCATTATAATGAGCTTTCGAGGCGTATAACGCATCGCGTATGATCGTATTAAAATATTGTAAATGAAATTAACAAGTTGCGTTATATAATGAGTCGTTTATAAAGTGTATTACTTGTAGAGACGATTTTCATAACATTCTTTATAATTGCACGTCTGGCTTTCTCACAATTTTTCTTCTTTTTGACGTAGAAAAGTTGTCGAGGAAGCAGACGCGGGCAAAATCG